ACATTTATTACTTATTAACTAATAAAGAAATTTTAATGTTACAAAAGTTTAAACTTAATATTTACATGATATGATGCGTAATTAAATTTAATTATATATGCTATTGATAAAATCTTAACCCAAAAGTATACGTATGCACTGTGATTTTTTGTATAATCAAATTTTGATAAATTTGAATATACTGTATAATGAATTAATGTGCTCTGTGTGCACATCTTTGGTATATAGTTTATTAATGATTATGGTCACTATTTAACTCAAAAGTTGTGAATTACGCACGCATTTCTAGTTCTGAGCACATTGTACACACTGCCGTACGTACTACGTAATATAAAATTTAACATTAATCTCCAACACTCACATTACTTTTTTGCATAGTAAAATTTACGAATCATATCATGTAAATATTAAGTTTAAACTTTTGTAACATTAAAATTTCTTTATTAGTTAATAAGTAATAAATGTTTAGGACTACGTACATAAGTACGTATCGGTATTAATTATTTTTAATTTTTCCGTGGATCAGTGAAAAAAAAACTTTTTTTTTTTGAGCATTACTAAAATTGATTAGTTCGTGAAGTATAAACACTTGAAAATTTGTGTTTTTGATAAATATTTGAAACAACAGATCTAAGCTACAAAATCTAACAATTTTTTAAATAAAGGTGCAAAAAAACAAATAAATAAACAGTAAAATATTGTACTAAAATATATATATACATATATATATAAATAATTGATAATTTGTTACAACTTAAATAAATAATGGCAAATTATTTAGAATGTTCATAATTTGGCCATTTTCCATCTTTAGGGCATTGGACGGTGCGCCAAGATATGTCGAGTACTCCTTGGTCAAGTTCACCAAGCGCAGCAAAGGCACCAGGAGTTAAATCGATGCAACCCGGTTTACAACCTGCACATATATCGATGATTTTGACGCAAATTGTTTTTCCTGACTTGTTATTTTTGACCTCGATACATTGATAACACATATCAAGATTACCCGTCATTAGTATTGCTGCAATATAATCATCTGATTTGGCATTATAGGGCTGAAGACCATTACGTCCGTAACAAGCTGCATTATGGAGCTGATC